TGCAGGGTGTGCTGGTAGCCGGGCAGGAGTCTGCCAGTAACGGTGTGTGTGCCGTGTTCTCCCCTGCCTTCACACCTTTCACACACAGGGCAGCAGAAGGTGTCACTGGGTGCTATTTTTCCTCGTGGAGGAATTCAACGACACGTTTGGTTTCATCTGCATTTTCATGTCAGATGCCTTTCTGTTAGACTGCCCCTCTGCTGCTGTCTGTCTCATAGCAACAACTTGTAAAGAAAATTGGTGAAATGGTTCAACCTATTCTGCTACACCACCAATATCCACCTGTGATGTCATGGGCCAACATCCTAAAATAGGAGGCATTACTTTTGGAGCAACTCTCCTAAGTGGCAGCTCTGCTCATTCCTTCTGCTTCCCCTCCCATCTTTTTACAGTTGTAAAGTGTTTTAGCTGCATAGTTTGCTTGTCAAAGTCCATTTTGCTCCTGCTGTGCTGAATCAAGGCTGCAGACAGTGGAGCTCCCTCTCAGCAGGTGGCTTCGGTTGTCAAGTGATAAGAGCTGCACAGCTCCTGCTTGTTACATCCACTGTTGTGGGCTAATGGATGTGGCTGCTAAACTTAAAGCGGCAGCTGATGCAGAACAGGCCCCAGTGTGCCCTATGGTTTCCTGGGATGGAGCTTTTAGTTGTTTGGATGGGTGGAAGATGGCAGTGGGTTCAGTTTAACCTTTAAACACCATTTGTTCATCGGCTAAAAGAAATCTGCTTACTGATTTTTGATGCTTTCAGTGTAGCTATGCAGCCATGAAAACAGCACGGGAACCTTCTCGGAGTGAAATGCGTAGTGTTGGTGCATGAGGATTGGTTTGCTTGTAGGACTTAGAAAACAAAGCTCTTGCTGCCATCAGGACACTCTCTCCTCAGTCAGCGGGCAGCTCAGCAGAAGCAAGGAGGGAGCAGCACAGAGCAGTGTGGAGCTCTGACGGTGGGAGCAGAGTTGGCAGTCCCATGGGACACACTGGGTAATGAAACAGGGCACTGAGAGGAGCTGCATCCTCTAGAGGCCTGCTCTCCAACCCACGTTTTGAGAAGTAGCCTGGTCTTCCTCCTGGATGTCCTTCTCTATTGTTAGCAACTCCTTTCTGCTCTTTTCCTATAGCAGACTTCAGGGCTGAAGTACTCAGCTGTGCCCAGCTGGGGAACCTGAAAAAGAATGAGCTGCTTGATATGCAGGGAAAAAGTTGCTCTTGCAGCTTTGGTTGAGAAATAGTTCATCACCACAAACCCTCCAGGGCAAGTAGAGTAAAGCCAAGATGCAGGATTTGGTCACAGGGCTGTGTGTAGCACACTCTAGTCATCCTAGCAACAAGCAGCGTCAGGGACAACACTGCATCTACTGCTGCTGGGCCTTACCCTTCTCTGTTTTATGTGCAGCTCTCTCATTTCTAATAGAACCAAACAGAGACTGGCATATTTTAGAGATTTGCCCAGAGAGGCAGTGGGTGCCCTATCATTGGAGACATTCAAGGTCAGGCTGGAGCGGCTCTGAGCACCCTGATCAGCACCCTAATCTCACTGTAGGTGTCCCTGTTCATTATAGGGGAGTTGGGCTAGATGGCCTTCATGAGTCCCTTCCAACTCAAATGATTCTACGATACCAACAAAAGCAGACTCTATTCCTACCTTTAGAATGAAGGTGGGTGAGCACTGGCCAGCAGGCAGACTGCTGAGCCAGTGCCTCCCACTCCTCTTCCCCTCAGATCTCTCAGCATTTGAAGCTAGGCTACAAGGGCTGTTAGCCCCACATGTAATTCATAAAGCCAGCACTGGGCAAGGTTATGATATAGAGAGCAAGCGTCTGCTTGATTGCAATTAGCAAGCTTTACACTTCCAGCATCTCCTCAGCACAAGGGAGATGGAGGAGGTGGCTGCAGTGACAGTAGGAGCAGCAGTGCTTGCCAAGGCCCCTGTGCACTAAGGACTGAGAAGAAGTAGTCATGGAGGGCTCCCACCTCCATCTCTGGGAAGCCATGAGGCACAGTTGTGCTCTGCTAGGTGCTATCCTGAAGCTCCGGATGCATGCTTTGGAGAGGGGAGACAGCAATTCTAAGTTTATGCAGCAGCCTGCACAACCCCAAGTGAGCTTCCCCCATGCTCTCACAGCTGTTGTAGAGTAACGCTATCAAATAATAGCAGTAACGGCACTCTGTTGTATCACAGGAACCAGGGCAGTGCTGCAGACGCCTGTCTAAAGCACCACGCTCAGCTGAGAGCTGCTTTGCCCTGTGGCTGCCCGCTGTGGCTCTCTCAGTCCACCAGTTCTCCTCCGGGTTTTGTGCCTTTCTGCTGCTGGTGCCCGCTGGGGGGAGCCGCTGCCCGCTCATTGCTGCTCCGGCAAACGTCTCTGAGTAAAATCGAGGTGGAGCAACGGCCACCATGGGCACCTGGGAGCGAAGCGGCTCTTTCAGGGCCTTAGAGCCCCTTCCGCTCTGTTTCTGAAATCAAGTAAGCAAACAAAAGCCTCCGAGTTTTCCTGAGAGTGACCTCTGTAAGCCCCCAGGCAGCAGTTCACCTGTGCTGTGGCACTGTGGCTCTGCAGCCGGTCAAGAACAAACAGCTTTAAAATGTACTTCTTCCTTCCACAGCAGGGGAAGGAAGACACCCCCCACGTGCCTCCTGACACAGGCAACAGTATCTGAAGGATGCTCGCAGGTTTCCCAGTCTCTTTGCTTCCCTGCAGAAGAGCCTAGGAGGAGGGAATGATGCTGCAGCCGCCACCAGCCCACAGGGAAAGCATCCTGCAGAGAAACAGCACATCTCGGCATCCCTGGGGCTCACTGAGCTCTGCAGGATCAGCAGTTAGGAAGTTAAAGAAACGATACTTCCCTTTCTTTGGGTAGAGCTGCGCATCTGTTATGTCTAGACCTCTTGGAACAGTCCTCTCTTCTCCCACACCTTTCTGCTGAAGCAGATCAGGTTGCAGGAGAGGTTGTAGCTTTGTGGGGGTAAGCTGTTCCATTTTATCTCTGTCCTCAGTGCAAGTGAAAGATGCTGGAACCCACACCTTTACATGGGCACTTCTGTACCGTGACATATTATGAGTTCTGTAGTTAGTTTTCCTGAACAGGGAAGTAAAGAAAAGGTATAAATCACGAGCAGTCTATGCGGGAGTGAATGAACATACAAAGAGAGTTACTTAGTGGTAGGATGCAGATGCATGTGTAGACAACAGCCTTTAGCAACTCTTAGCTGAGTCCCTCAGGCAGTGTGCTGGTATGGAAGGAGATGGAGTAAGAGGCAGAAGAAGGCCTGGCTGCCAACTGCGAGGAGGAAGGTGGTGTTCTGGGAGCTGCTGAGCAGAGGGGACGTAGTTCAGAGGCAGGCTCGCTTTATAGACCCATGGCATCCATCATTGCCTGTGCAGAGAGAAAGCAGAGCTCCCACGTCACTGAATGATCTTCTGATCAATAAGCATATTCTCATTGTTGCAGAACACCTGTGTGTCAACACCTTCCTTCAATGCTTGTTCAAGACATTTGGCTTCTTGCAGAGTGCTCCTGGCACAGGTGAGGGAGGACAGCTTGCTAATGGTCTTTTGCTGTTGAATTTCTTTCAGCAGCTTCTTCCCTGAAGAGCTTCTAATGAGACTGACCTTTATTAGCTAATTAGGCTCATTCAGATGACACAATCCCATTTAGTGTTTCATGGTTGTTGGTTTTTTTTTTTTCTTTTTTTTTTTTTTTTTTTTTTTTTTTCCAGTATTCTATATTTGGGTCTCACCCTTAGGCAGGTTGGGAGGGGATTGCCTCCATGTGCAGAGCAGAGCCCATGACAGCTCCCTGCCCAGCTAACACTGCCCAGCTGCCAAGTGAGCACAGGCACTGTGGTGGCACTGGCTTCATTCACTGTTTTAAACTGCTTCACTTAGCAGCACTGTAACCTTCTCACCTTGCATATCTAGTTATATTAACAGTTTTCTGCATGAGAAGGATGTCTTGTAATAACTAACATTAATATCAAAGTATTCCAATGAAGAAAAACTGTTAGAAAAGGAAATCACAACAACAAAAGAAAAACTTAGCAAATTACTTCGTAGTAAGTTCCTCTGATGTAGCATACACATTAAATGAATCTTATGAGGATTGATGTAACTTGCCAACATCCCAGACTTTCTTTGCAAAAGCAAGCTGTGGTTCATTAGCACTTTATAGGCATGGAATTTCTTCCCTGCCTCGGTCTCTGCTGTTACCACCTGTGCTGTGGTCTGGGTTTGATGCTGCCCTGTCAGCCAGCCCTCACCAAATCCATTCTGAGCTGCAGGGCTGCTATGGGCTGAGTGTGAGGTACCACACAGTTACAGTGCCTTCAGCTGCGTGCATTTACTGCAACTAAGCTGCTAGAAAGCTTCTGTTACATTTCCCTTACAAGACTGATTTTCCAGGGAATAGAAGCCATTATGGAAGCCTTCACAGCAATTTCCTTGCTTAGCAGGTTAGCTCTTTGGAAAGGCAATGAAAGCCTTGCATTCAAGGAGAGGGCTGAAAGCATCACAAGGCTGACAATAAATGCAGACCTATTTATGTCAAGATCCAACAACTGTAGAAACCACACAGACTTCCAAAAAAAATCCTGGCAGAGATCTCATCCCTGAAACAGAGGAGAGAACTACAGCACTTTCCAGAGCCTGTGGCTAAGGCAGGGCTGACCCAGGACAAGTAGCTTCAGAGCATTTTGCTTACTGCTGGCTAAAGGGTGGAACTGTTCCACCTTTGCACGTCCCCCAGGAAAGGGGAGGGCTGGATTAATGCTCAGGCATTATGATCTTGTAACCACATTCCCTTGCTGGGAGAGAAAGTATATGGGAACTGCTGAATCATGGCCTGAACCTCTGATTGATCACCCAAGATGAGCCATGAGTCAGCCTCAGGAGCAGAGGTGAAGGCAATTCACCTGTGCTGCCGGAAGGGGTGGAGCCTGGCTGCATCTCTCCTAGACCCATTTAAGAGCTGGCTACCAGTGGGGAAGGATCTCTTCTGGAGATTTCTTCTCTGGAGTTTTGCAGTGAGCCCAGGACACAGGTAAGCACTCCATCTATTCTCTTTTTGTTATTAAAACTTGCTTAGCCAAACTCTCTGGTTTATTTCATAATTATAATATCTTTATATTCATTGATTACACAGAGGTGATCTGATCTGAATATAAACTAGCTCAGAGGTAAGCACTTGTTATTTACTGTCCTTCTTGGTACTTAGCAGAAAAGGCAGATAGCCTCTTATTTAATGAGTGCATGGTAACTGCTGAGTCACGGCCTGAACCATTGATTGAGCACCTGGGGAAAAGACCTGGTCAGTCCTGGGAGCACAGGTGAAAGCAATTCAGATGCATAACCCAAAGGGGTACAGCCTGGCTGCACCTCTCTTAGACCCTGTTTAAGGGCTGACTGTGACTGGGGAAGGATCTCTTTCTGGAGATCTCTCCTTGATGAAGCTTTTGCCTGTGAATCTAGGATCTTCTGGTATGGGTGAGCAATCTTATATTATCTTATATCTTAATATGGGAGGGTGGTTGGACTAGATGGTCTTGCAGGTCGTTTCCAACCTTGTGATTCTGTGATTCTGTGTCCCTGGCAGTGTTCAGGAGGCGCCTGGATGAGGAGCTACGAGAGATGGTTTAGTAGCTTGTGGCACTGATAGGAATGGAAGGGTGGTTGGACTAGATGATCTTGCAGGTCGTTTCCAACCTTGTGATTCTGTGATCTTCTTCCTTTATGGCACCTTTCTATTGCCCTAGTCCTTCTATCATCACATCTCTATTGTAGTGCCTTGCTAGTTGTATTGGTCCGTCCAGGTGTTATAGTGAGCAATGTGAAAGGTCTTTTCCTGTGAGGTCAAGTAATTGGGTGGGAAAGGATGGTTCCTGAAAATAGAGAGAATGCAGCATAGACTCTCTCTCATAATTTATGTTCTTTGCTTGTTTTAATTCAAATTGATTGTAGTAGCACACAAAGTCATTGCCCTAGGACTATGCTGTGGTAGAATTAAATCATTATTTCATGTTCCTTTGGTAACAAGTACTCTACTATGGCTGTGATAGACAAGGCATTATCCTGATCTATGCTGTTTGTTGCTGCTCTTTCTACAGCTGATGTTGTTCCTGCTTGTGACCAGAATCTTAAAGCTTTTTCTTGCATATAATCATGCAGCCTAACTTATTAGTCCAGAGACCAGACAGCAGTTGGACCTACCTGCTGTTCACTGCACTCCATGAGCACAGTGAATCTTGCTGCTAGTATGTATCCTGTTGGTACTGAGCTCTCCTGAACGATGTTGGCACTCCTGATTTTATTAAATGTCAGCTTGATTGTCCACACCCTCATCCTCTGGTTTTTACTGCTTTAGTGAAGCGCCCTGTAGGAAGAGAAAGATGGTCTCCTATGAAGCTGAATTATCAGTAGGTATAGAAATTTTCATTGCTGATGGAAAAATCTTTGTGTAGATCCTCTGTGATTTGCTATAATCACATCATTGCTAAATACTGCCTGGGTAAGGAGGAGGTGGAGTGGAGAGCTGGGTTAGAGGACACTTGTTAGAATTTACAGCATTTGTGTTGTTACTGCAGTAACTCCCACTACAACGTATGTGTGGATCACAGTAGATTTAGGAGGTGATAGCCTTTGTTCTTGCTCCCTTTCTCGTTGCTCCTTCACAAAGTCTGTTAGCACCAAGCCCTGAAATAGGCAGAACTGTTGACTGCAGGGAGTCAGGAGCTGCTACTTGTAGACAGAGCAAAACAGCATGTGAACTCCCCTGAGCACAGAGCCTAGTACCCAACACAAACTGTGCTCTGCAGAGGTCTTAAACTTTGCAGTAGAAGTCCTCTTTGCAGTCTCTGCTTTATTCTATTCTGCTTTGTTTAATCGTTCCCTTCCTTTTTGCTGTAGTTGGAATGAGTGTTACTGATTTTGCTGTGATTCTAAGTGGCCTTAGGCTTTGGTCTTCAGTTAGTACTTCAGCATAGTATATTTGCTACATTTTAAATTTAAAATCATCCAGGATTTCCTTTCAAAACTGCACAGCAATATTGCAAGAATGTTTTTGAAGGGGGTGGTGGAGGGGAGAGTACCAGAGAACTTACATCAAACAATTACAGATCAGTATTTGTCCCTTGTGTTGATAAAAGCTGCAGAATGCTCTGGGTGCTGGAAGGGTTGAGGGGAAAAGGCCATTTTCCTTTCCTTAATTGTCCTCGCCTGTCTCCGTGACTGTCAGCTGGTGAGAAGATGACACAGGCAGTCGTGTAAAGGGAACCTGGCCCTAAAAATCACCGGGGTTTGATATGCCAGTGGTGGCAATGCAACTGGAAAATGGAAAGCTCCTTAGGGATAGGTTAGAACAGAAAGACTGTCTCCTGCCAGACCTTTGAAGGGGCATTAAAATCCATTCTCTATCCCATTTGCCACCACCAGCTGGGATAATGCAGAAACAGAACAGAAAGAAGACTGTGAATCAATTTAATTAGGGCACTAATGCTCAATAAAAGAGCAATGCAGAATAAGTGATCTCTAGGTCAGCGACTAGGAGAGTTCCCAGGTATTCCCGGAATGAGAAAAGAATGGTTGGAACTTGCTTTCATCTGTATGCTGCTTAACCCTGTGGTCCCAGTGTCAGACTGTCTTCTCCCAGCAAACTGACAGTAAGCCTCACTCTCTTCCCTGCACTGGCAGTAGTGGTGGCAGTTCCCGACCACCAGCAGCAGATTTGGCAGGTCTGAGGAACACCAGTGCCAGGGGGCTGCTCTGAGGCTCATTGCTGGAGAGGTCTCCTCACACTGCTCGGGATGTGGCTGCGGTACAGGACTGGTGTTGTACCTACCTCTTTGGGCAGGCTGTGGAATTTCAGCGTCAAAACCGAGGTCTTTCTCTTGGTATCATCTCTGCTCCATAGGGTAGGATACCTGTCACCATCTGGTGCTACAGTACCCAGGGAACTCTGTTGATACGGGTCTTGCTGCTAGTTCATCTTGTATTGCCTCGCTCTCAGACAGTGACTTCTTATATCTGCAGTTCACTTCAGAGAGGACCCCAGCAATTTCTGACCAACGCTTTCGGGAGCAATGTGGTTGCCTGTGTGTCAAAGGTAGTGGTGGTGAATAATTAGTAAATATTGCCCAGCAAAACAAGAGGTTGCAGTCTGGGTGGACAGACAAGCTTGTCAATACCTTTACTGTCTTACCTTAATACCTTAAAAGGTATTAATTTGTTTTGATGCCCAGCTTTCTAGGACTGGTTTCACTTGCTTTAATTGGATTACATAGAGGGAGAACTTTGCGTTCAAGAAGATCTGCTTTAATCTACAAATTTCAGCAACAAATTAGAAGGAACACCTGCATGACCATGGGTAACACTGAAATTTATAAATGTTGACACCACATCACATTTATGGTGAGTAAGACTTAGAGTTTTCATTTTCTGCAGTATGGGACTTTTCTTAAAAACATCTGTCTGCTTTCCTAGCAGCTGAGGAGTATGGGTGTACCTGCTGTGGAGCCTTCCACTGCTCCTACAGGGGGTAATAAATGGAGATGCTCGGGTCCTTCTGCCAGTAACAATCTGTTTCCTCAGGTCTGTTTGTTTGTCTACATGGTCTGTAGCAGCATATTCTCTTTTAAGTGACTTTTCCTTCAATTGCAGGTCCCTCCTGGCAGGTTAGGCCCAGCTTGCCATAAGCTTCCAATGGGGACCTGCCGAGTGATTTAAGTTGGGAGTTATGGAAGAAAGGTTTTTTTAAAAAAACCAACAAACAAAAAAAACTATAAACAAGACTAAACAACAATTTCCCAGTACACTTCCAGCAGCACAGGGCAGTGTATCAGTCTCAGTAAGAAATGAAAGTAAATATTAATTCCTATATGATTACTTCTTAGTTACAGCAATCTGTTGCAGGTTTTGTCCTTTGTGTATTTCTAGAACCTTCGTTTTCATTCTTTTGTGCCAGATATCATAGTTTTTCTTAGCCGTTTTGTAAAGACATCAGCTGTTACGTTGTCCTTTGTCACTCACAGAAGACTCAGTGTGAAGGAAGACTCCTTTCCTGGGAGCACAAAGACTTCTGCTGCCATTGCTACTGATGCTTGTCATGCAGCTGACTCCTGAGGGTTCACAATGTGGGATTTAAAAACTGAAAATGGGCATTCCTGCCATGCACAGAGCACTGAATGTCTCATACAGGTTGGGAAAATTCTTGCATCTCTCATTTGCTTTTGCCACGTGCATCTGGGCAACTACTGTATCATATCACCAAAATCTTTTTATTCAGTACTTCTTTCCCTTTCTGTAATTGTTTCTTTTCCTTCTTTGTTCATGGATAATTCCATAGTGTATACATGTTCCTTGGGACCCTTGACAACATTTTCTGCCTCTTCCACTGCTATGCATCCAGACCTGATTTCTCCTCCTGCAGTAGCAAAGTTTGTTTCCTAACAATACTGTAAACTCTTCAAATAACCAAACTGCTTGTAAAGCATCAAGCCCAAGGCAAGAAAGTGGAAAAATATCTAAGAAGAAATAGAGAGAAAATAATGTAAGACCCATAGTTTTTTTTCTTCCATGGCAAAACAGTGGTAGCAGGTATCATCTGCCCTAGTTTTGTGCCTTGCACATTGTTGTGGGACCTTGTGGCATGCTGAAACACTTCAAGAACATGAATTAAAATTGTTGAGAGATCTTGAATATAATTGGTCTTGTATGGGCCAGGAAGATGTATTACATTACTTACCTGGGTCCTTCCTAAATGTTCGGTGAGTTTACAATCCTCTAACAAGTGTTATGGCTTTTGTTAATAGAAGGTTCCAGGAAACAAGTTCTCAAGCAGACTTTCTGATGAAATTGTTTTCTGCTACCAGTATGGTGAAGGACAAAACTCAAAACTAATCTCCAAACCCTTGAAATGAGGTGATGAGTTTCTTAGCAACCTGCTCTGTGTTTGAGATCAAAGGTCACCGTGGTCTAGAACCTGAGCAGAAAACAAAATAAAAAGATGCACTTAATGACTTACCAGCTGAAAAATGACTTGTGTTCCAATTAGAATGAGACACCATCCATGTTTTCTATCTGCAAGTGGGCATTAGGAGAAATGCTGACTCCAGAGATTGCTTTGTGTGCGTTTTACAAGTGATGAAAACTATTTTAATTTATTTGCAAGAATTAATTAAAAATGATTGTAAAAGCAGTATTGCTTCTTGTCTTGCTCTAGTCTTCCTTTTTATTTCTCTCTCTCTGCTAGTCTCCATGCTAGTGACAGCCATTCTTGTTTTCTGTGCCATGAAGGATTAAAAAAAAAAAAAAAAGACTCCTCATAGACTCAATCATTAGCAATTCTCTCATCTTCTGATGTTCCCACCTTCCAAATCTGCTGAGGCATCCAATGTCATCACAATTGCAGTCATCAGCTTCATGAGTCAGAGTCCACAGACTGTTTTTTTTTTTTTTTCAAATGACCATTCACAGGCTTGCTAGTTCTTCTCTGTCCTGGGTTCGTATATTTTTTTTGTGTGTGTTAGCTTACATAGAGATAATGCACTGGGGATGCATGGATTAATGCTGACCTGGGTGTGGGAAAGTAACTTGAATATCCGTCATTATTCTACATTTAAAATTATAGGTGAAAGAAAACCGAAACAATTCCTTTCTGTCCTGGTAACAATAGCCCCCTGTTGTCTTTTCCTGAGAGGCAGAAAGTAAAGATTCTTTCTAGGACAGAAACTACTGTGGTTTCTTGTGGTACACAGACAGCTGTCATGTTAATCCCACCTATCATGGTTTTACTCTTCAGATATTTCTGTGAAGGAGAGAGTCATCTTATAAACCCAACTCACTCATTTTCTTTTACTCTTTGTATGCATATACATACATAGATGTGTCTGTATATACAGAAGTATATATGTATATTTGCCCTCCCCATGGGATGTTGTCAGTAGCAGTAGCAGAAGTTCCCCACTCTTTCTGCTTGAACTTCTCGTGAGTCAGTATGTCTTGGCCATGTTTGTTCCTTGTGCTGATGGAAAAGCCACAAGCGTTGTTGGCTAACAAAGCTGTTTGTATCACACTGATATCTGAATGAGGGTTTAAAAAAAAAAAAATTAAAAAATCCTAGTTTTCACTGGTCAGAATTAATGTGTTCTGGTTGACGTGATGTGTGAGTTATTGATGAAATACATGCTGTTTTTATCAGAAGAAAAGCAAGTCTTTGCAGCAAGGGATGGAGGAAAGGAGAAGGAAGCTGGAGGAAAGCATGTGTGTCTTTATTCTCTACAACATGGGATCTTTTAAAGAAGAACAATATTTTTTTTCTTGCAATTGTCAAACACTGGCAAATAGTGACTTCAGTACTTCAATTAACTCTGAATGTTCCTTCCATAATTAGGAAAAATATCTTCACTGAGAGAGTTGTGAAACATTGGAACAGCCTACCCAAGGAAGCAGTTGAGTCACCGTACTTAGAGGTATATAAAAGTTAAGTGGATGTGGTACTTAGGGACATGGCTTAGTGAGAGATGTGGCAGCACTAGTTCAACAGTACAGTGACCTTGGAGGTCTTTTCACACCTATGTGATTTTGTGATTTACATCTTGAGTTGTGTAGGGATTTTTAGTCTCCACTTACTGCCCAGAGGGAAATGCCAGAGTGAGATCAGTCACCACGATCCTGTGCTGTCTGCAATTCTAAGAGGCAGCAACTTTGTCCTGTGAGCCACCACCTTCCATTGGTGCCTGTGCTGCAGAGCTGTGCAGCTTCTCATCTTGCCAGTGCCTTTTTTACAGTTGATGGATATGTTCCGCCTGCAGACAAGCTTGTGTCTGGGGTGAAATTCAGTTACAGCAATTGTATATTGGGTGAGTTCTGCATAAAAATAGTTAACAAGGAGCTACAATAAAAGGCTATGTTGTACAGAAATTACATCTGCAAGAAATGTGAGCTGCCAGAGGCAGGAGAATCTTTTCTTGAGTGAAGCATAACTACAGCCTTTTCCCAAAAAGACTTTTTGAAAACTTTTTATTAAGTTGCTATGGCTGAAGCAGACCTCAGTGCTTTCTGCTCAGAGATCTGGAGCATGCCCTGGGGTGCCATGCAGGTCTCTCCAGACCAAGGAAGAGCCACGTGCAGCTGCTCCATCGATGGAGGACCAGGGTCTGCCTTTAGGGAATGCACAGAGAAAGGTGCACTGCACAGGCACATGCTGGGGGAAAAATGCCTGATGTTTACTTGCTTTTAGGTCCATTTTGAGTATTGGAGGCAATATATGCAAGTTTTTGCACCATGCTGGAAGTAACTTGTTTTTTTTTACTTGTGGCAAAAAAAAAAAAAACAAAAAAATTCAGTGCTGCATGTATAGAGCTATGTATGCACAAAACCACAAACTTGTCTGTTTTTTAGATAGGAAGGACCTATGTGCTGACCTGTAAAACCACTCATCTTTAACACTTCTTTACATCGTGTCTTCTCATCTAGCTCTTAGAGGGATATTTGGGTGTTCTGCCTATCTGAACAGATCCAGGGATGCTGTTTGCTCCTCTTTTTGATGAAGGTATCCTAATTATCTGTAAGTGTAATTTCTTAACTCTGAATTCTTTTTCTCCTTTTCGTTCCCTAGAGAAGTGTTCAGGTTTGATACAGTTTGGTAGCATGGTAGATTAGATGTAATCCTATACAGCTGATAGCTTTTCTTCATCTAAAGTATACTTAAACTGTAGGTTTTAAAGTTCTTGGTTATGTAGGGCTGAAAAGAAGAGTTTTAGGTTACTGGACTGAAAAGCATATTCATTTTTTCCCCGAGGCCTGGTACAGCATCTAGTTTCTGAACACATTTTTTAATGAATGGAATTCCAGCGTCTTCCTGCAAGTGTTCTGATTGTATGTTTATTTAGTCAAATGGTGTTATCTCATTCCATGGTTATGGGTGTAGAGATATATTTTAGGTGAATGAGGAACAGATTTTGCACTCTTCAAAAATCTCTTCTGTTAATTTCAGCATCTTGATCAAAGATGTTTAACTTAATGGTACAGACACCCCAACCCATGGCTGACCTGCCTTTACTGGATAAGTAGAAGGAAAAAGTGGCAGGTGCATGCATTTCCAGTGACATGCCACTTTACCTGAAGTACACAGCACTAGGTGACTTATTGCATATAGACATGACGTGTTTTTTTTTCCATGGTTAATGTGTATGTGCTGAGTGGCACTTTGATCTTTTTTTGTTCCTGGGTTGTGTTATTGCTTGAACTCTACACACAGATGCTTTGAATCTTCTTTGTCATGTAATTTGTGCATTTGCTCAAACTATGGAAAACAGGGTTTAAGCAAATACCTACACAGAACTTTCTACTTGCTGGATGGAGGTCATATCATGCACTTGTTTTGAACTCTATTTGCAAAGACAAATATCAAAACATGAAAAATTATGGAGAAGCGGGTAGTAAATCTTCTTCTATTAAGCATTTCCCATTGGGTCATTTTATTACAGTCTTCAGTGCAACATGCAGCTGGAGTGTTTGATTTGCTTACTGCCTTCAGGATTGTTGTGACTTCCCTGCATGCTTTTAGCCTTTAGCTCCTGGTTCAGCCACCAAAGAAACCATCTCTGCCAGAAGGCTGGTGCTTCTTCCGGAAGCTCTCCAAAAAACCATCTCCTAATCACCAGAGGAGATGAGGTGAGATCATGGCAGTCTCACTGCACCTAGTGCTCTCTTTGCTGGTCTGTCTTCCTCAAAAGACCTGCGGCTAGTGACCCCTTGCCATGACTATTTCACATGAGTAAGCTGCCTGATATGACAGAGATAGGAGTAATTGCACTATTACTAACTATATAATATACTATAACTATATATACTAACTATAACTATATTAATATATATATATTAAATTCAGAGAGCTAATTTGCTGTTTTGCAGGCTGCTTACCTTCTTATTAAGGGGAGGAAAATAGGATTCCCAAGCAAAACTCAGCTGGTAAATTGTGCAGAGAACTGATCTTCAGTGGTTCAGTTCTTAGGTGCTCTGCTGCCCAGGGAAATGAACAGCTTGGGTAGATGGAGGTTGAAGTGACCACTGAATGCAACAAAAGCCGTTGTGCAGAAATAGTCTCCCTAAGGTGGTCAGGAGCAAATGCGAGGAAAGGAACAGGAGGCACATGCTGGATTTTGAGTGATAAGATGCCTCCTGTAATTCAGGCTGCTTATATCTAAGGCATTGTGTACTTGTCAGGTCCTGCATGTATCTGTAATATTCACTTGTGTATGGGAGCTATTGAATTATGGCCTGAACCTCTGATCGCCTGAGGCAAGCAATGAGTCAGCTGTGGCAGCACAAGTGAAGGCAATTCAGTTGTGTGACCAGAAGGCGTGGAGCCTGGCTGCACTCTCTGAGACCCCATTTAAGGGCTGACTGCCACTGAGGAAGGATCTCTCTGGAGACTGCTCCTCTTGGAGGTTTTCCTGCGTGCCCAGGACGTGGGTAAGCTTTTCCATTCATTTCCAATTTCATTCCCTTTCCAGTGTGATAATCCTTCCAACTATATGTTCTCTAAAGACCAGTATATTTGTCTAAAGATATAAAACTGTATATTTGTCAATCATACATCTGTGTACTCATTGATTAAAGAACTTGGTCAGTGAAATCCTGCTCCTGAATGATTTAGATGAAGGATTTGAAGTGCCAGAAGATCCAGAAGCGGCACAAAGATACCACAACCAGCTCTTCTGGGTAGTTTAACTGCCTTTATCCCTGACTTACCATCCCACCATCCCTTGCCTGCAGTTTTGGTCTGTGCTACCTCTGGGTCATAGAAATTCCTAACGGATTGTAGTTAGCAGATATATCTGCTGAAAGAGAAATGCCTTATTTGCAAATCCCTGTAGGACTGAAATATTGAGTTATTCAGCACTGTTTGGGCAGGCCCAGAGGCAGAAGCATAGGCAACCAGAGAGCTTTACTGATGGGATCTTGGGCGTCATGGGAATTTAGCCAGCTCCAAAGTTAGGTAGTAGCTGAGAAGGGGGCTCTGAGGATTTGCATTCTGAATGAAGGAAGAATCTCTCTGTAGATTTAGTCTGTGTAGCTGTGCAGGATGGGAGACAATGGTGAGCCAGCATTATATGATATTAATTATGTGAGTAAAGTGAAGCATAAAATTCCCCACAG